AGAGAGAGAGAGGGAGGAGGAGAGAGAGAGAGAGAGAGAGAGAGAGAGAAAGAGAGAAAGAGAGAAAGAAAGGGTTTCAGGACAAGCCTCCTCCCCCGTTCATGAAACGTTACGTGTGGGGAAAGTGAAGCCGTCACACGGGCCGCATTTTACGCATCTATGTTTACGCATTTGTTTTTCCCCTCAAATTTAGTGTTTCCTATACGCGACTGGACCCTGTTTGGTAGTGGTTACACTCCCTTTTCTACTGCCCTCTTCACTGGTGGTTTTTGAAACCCCCCCCTCCCATCATTTCTGTGTCCGCCAATTGTAGAGCTCGGATATACAAGTGTGGCATGGTAAAGCCTATTGCTCGGTGAACGCGCCCAGGTTCAAAACCCTTAAACAATTGTTGACGTTGTCGATGCTGACGAAACTACATTTTGCTGGAGGTTCAGTCATGCAGTGTGTCTGCCGTTCGATCGATGGTATTTTAGCAACAAGCCTACAGCCGGTGTGCATGAATTTATTGAGAAAAAACGTAATTAATAAGACGTTAAAGAGAATACGATGGAAGCGAATGGTTCGAATTCGAGATTGAAATTTAATAAGCGACGGATTCGGATTTGATAATAATTTAATGCCGAAGTGGCAGTAATTGTTATTTTTGACACGCAGAGCAGTGATATACGGTCAATTACTATATACGGTCGAACACTATAATACAGTTTAGTTGCGGTCAATACCTGCATGTCTAATGTTTTATGCGTGTCTATAATGTCTATAATATATATCTAAATTAATGTTTATGTGTGTATATCTATGTCTATGTATATGTCTAATGTTTATGTGTGTATATCTATGTCTATATATATATCTAATGTTTGTGGTGTGTGGTGTGTGGTGTGTGGTGTGTGGTGTGTGGTGTGTAGTGTGTGGTGTGTGGTGTGTGGTGTGTGGTGTGTGGTGTGTGGTGTGTGGTGTGTGGTGTGTGGTGTGTGGTGTGTGGTGTGTGGTCACTGTGGTGTTTGGTGTGTGCACATAAACATTCTTTCTCTACCCCTCCCCTTCTCCTCTCTCTCTTTCGCTACCCTCCCGTCTTTTCTCTTTTTTTTCTCTCCCTTCCTTCTATCTCTCTTTTTCTCTCTTCTTCTTCTTCATCTCTCTCTCCCTCTCTCTCTCTCTCTCTCTTTCTTTCCTCCCTCCCCATAAACATTAGATATATTATATAGACATATATATACACACATAAACATTAGATATATACATAAACATAGATATACACACATAAACATTATATATATACAACATAAATATACACACATAAAACATTAGACATATAATATAGACATCGATATACACACATAAAACATTAGACATATAATATAGACACATTGACATAGATATACACACATATACGCTTTCGGTTGTGTGCGTGTTCTGTGTTAGTGCGGGGACGGGGTCGCGGTTGGTGCAATGACGTCCCAGCAGGATGACACCCGGTCGTAAATCGCATCAGCCTTCGGTAATTAGAGAAGCGCGCACGCACGCGCACACACGCGCACGCACGCGCACGCGCACACACGCACACGCACGCGCACACACGCGCACACGCACACGCACGTACGCACGCACGCACACACGTGTACAGTTTACGGTCTACGGTCTAATATTATAATACAGTTTATATTATGCCAATACAGTCAATACCAGGTGGCACCACTTCCCAGAGATCAGCCCCAATGCATACACGAAATTGGACCAGTAAAGGTAAAGTATTACACAGTATATAAATGAATATATTACATATAGAATTAGAAACATATACAATATTATATCATGCATCTAGGCTATGTGATTACAATAATGACACATTCTGTATTACATAGGCGATTTAGACCGTTGGCGTATCTAGCTGCCCTAGGCTAGAGCCGAGAAGCGCGTATTACGAATCGCCTGCTGAAAACCCGTGATTGCGCGCGCGCAGACCGGCACCGCCCCCTTCAAGCGATAGAGCATCTGATTTAAGAACCACCTGTGGCGTCGTCGTAGGCACCGACGCGGGCAATATCAGTCCTACTCAGTACAGTACTCAGTAGTACAATCGCTAAGAATGAAGGATGAAGCATGCTCGAACCATCTGTATTCTATATCTATGATCGAACTCTCATGTCGTGTAAGTACGCCAACTGGAATAATCGATTGTACGTTAGTGATCAGAAACGACAAATTATATAATGTTATGCCTTCTGCTGGCCAACTCGGTTTGATGATCGTCGGTTCGCCCACTCTTCAAATTCGCGTTCTGTGTGCCTGACAAGTTACGATTTTATGCTGCGATTTACAACTCGTTTTATCGAGACCAATAATATAATGTGCCCTAGATATTTGTTTAATCTTACACTATCCAGTGCACCATTCAGGTTTATCATGTTGATGATCAATGTTGTAGTTGCACTTGGCCGTTATTTGTGGTTACATTCTAAGTGATCACTGCTTTGGTAATGTGTGATCTTCTTATCTATTAAAGGTAGATTATCTAAGACTCTGTTAACATATTTCGTTTGTGAGTTTTTTCGTGAGCGAATCTGCCGCGATCAGCAGTATTTCCCGTCAGTTTTATCGACGTTAGGCTCCTCCCTTCTATACGGACCGTTCAACCATTGTCAAAACATCTGCAGTGAGATTAAGCAGCCCAATCTTAGTTTAGCACCCTGGCTTAGTTTAAAGCACATTTGCGAATATGAAGACCGGGACAAACTAGAAGGTTACGCTTTTTTTTCGCAGAGGTACGAGCGAAAATTCAAGTAAGTCGGTCGAAGACGACGACGACGCGGAGCAAAGTAGCCTCCGTCGTAGAGAAATGCAGACCTCGCCGGTCCCGCCATTCTCTTCCGATCGCTGGGAGGTCCCGCGGTACACGTACACCGACCTCCAGAAGCTCGAAACCCCTTACGAGCCCCCAGCTGTCGCTTCGCCCGGGCACCGCGTCTCCGTCCTGCGGCGCACCCCCCGCCGGCCGAAGGGCGCTGCGGGGTCCGAGAGGGCGGCGGGAGGCGGGACGCCGGAGCGGTGGTCTGGTTCGCCGCCGGAGAAATCGGACGGCGGCAGCAAGGAGAGGCACGCCCCCTACCAGAAACACGATGGCAGCGTTCCGAAATCCCCGCCGAGCCCCTTCGTGTCGCCGTCGCCGACGACGTTGATGCAATCGGCCGGCCCCCGGCTGTCAACGCGCACGCCTACGTGCGCCAAATGCCGTAACCACGACATTGTTGTTCCGTTGAAAGGTCACAAGCGTTTTTGCAAGTTCCGAGATTGTCCCTGCGACCAATGTATTCTTATTTGCGATCGTCAGAAAGTGATGGCGCGCCAGGTGGCGCTACGAAGGCAGCAGCAGCAAGATGTCGATCTGGGCCTGAAGGTGTTGAAGGGAAACTACTCTAGCGATGAAGGTACGTTCCGATTCGAGTTTGCATTCACGATATCCGTTGATCGTATGATCTATATTACTATGCATATGGATGCTACTATGCATATCCGTTGATCGTATGATCTATATTACTATGCATATGGATGCTACTATGCATATCCGATGCAGCGTGATGCAAACGCAGATATCCTAGTTTTGATAGCGACCTGGGATATGTATCTCGAAAGCTTCTCTGTAAACCAGATATGTACAAGGTTGGCATTTTATTACACATTGACATGCAGTTTGTGCACATAGACACGCACGAAATGAAGTGAGCGTGTAGTTACTCTAACAATAACAGTAGGACACAAAGCAGTGAAACCTGGCACCCATGACTGTTACTTTATAGTTAATTTGTAATTGCATAAGTAATACAGATAGCTGATTGCTAGATTATCTGGATTGATGATATCAAGAGCGTATAAAGAAGGAGAGCAACGGTGAAATGCTGAAACCATGTTGCAGTACTTATTAGTTGAATTAATAAACTTTCCCCAGTTTTATTTTGACGTTTCTTTGCAGCATTATAGATCAGCTGTCCTACATTGTTAATATTTAAAACAAACCGCATGTCCCTACGATGCCCCTACGCTGAGATAATGAGCGGTGAAAATATGGTATTTTCTTCCAAAATCGACTCGAGTTCACTTTTGACTGTGACTGTCTCTCGCTTTGAGATAACTTCAGGAAACCTCGCGTGTTTCTGTCAATGATTGACAAATGGAATGAATGACGTCTGTTATTGATTGCCATAGTGATGACCCCACCTGTGCCCACCTTACGCTGGATGTATAGTAAAACTCTATAGTACTGACGTGAGTCAGCGCTATCATGGCGCTACACAGCGGCGACCGGAAGCAATACACTGGCCACAAAGCGAGAGACAGTCACAGTAAAAAGTGATCTGGAGTCGGTTTTCGGCGAAAATGCCATATTTTCACCGCTCATTATCTCATCGTAGGGGCAACGTAGGGACATGCGGTTTGTTTTATATTAACAAGGTAGGACAGCTGCTTAATAATACTGCAGAGAATGGTCAAAATAAAACGGGGAAAGTTTATTAATTCGACTAATACTGCAACATGGTTTTAGCATTTCACCGTTGTACGCTCTCCTTCTTTATACGCTCTTGACGATATATTGGAATCTTGTTTTTATCATTCTGTAATCATATTTTCTCAAGTCTGTTATAATTTGGTGAAGAAGATACTGGTTATGAACTGAAGAGTCATTACTACAGAATTGTACAATTTGTTGACATTTCATGCAATCTAATGCGATTAGCAAGTAACTATTGTGTGTTTTTTTGGAAGGAAAGGTTTTGCATTTGCGTGTCCTGTTATGCATTTGCGTATGTACTGTAGCCTGTAGGCTATTCGGCTGCTCTACTTTATGCGCGTCTGTCTCTACACCCAAGCTGGGTCATCACAAGCTTTGTAAGCTGCCCAAATTTGTTGTACGTATCTGGTTTATTGAGAACGTTTTCTCGATGTTTTGAACACTGCTTGGCGTTCCCACTTCAATTACTGTCGTGATTTTTGACGGATGCTGAATGCTTTTTGACGAAATCTTGCGCTGCGCTCTGATTTTCTACGAAGAATCTCCAGTCCCGCACGTGCGCTCTTCATAAACATTGCCCGCGGCAATTTTTGCATTTCACGTCGCATAGCCTGTCGTAAATTGCAATGATGTGATTCGACGTGAGAGAAATGCGATAAATTGTACGCGCGGTAGCGGCAGGCATTACTTCGAGCGCCGGTAACCCGAGGAAGGACTGACGATGGATGATGAGGGGAGTGACTGATTGACTGCCGACGGTACAGTCACGCGAAACTGAGCAATGATTAGTTAACGAGGCATCCGCAGGATAGCTGGCGGATGTACATCGGCGATGTTCCTATCTTATATCTCATCTTGTTTCATCTTATCTTATCTCATCTTATTTCTTGTTATCTTGTCCCATCATGTCTTATCTCATCTCATCTTGTTTCATGTTATCTCATCATATCATATCTTATATCATCTGATCTTACTGAGCTGTAAGGTATAGGCTAAAGGCCTGTCAGCTGATCCTGTTTTCTCACGTGGCTATCTCGATTCTCTAACTAAGACTTAAAATGAGATACCGGATGTCTTGTCTCGTACAGGAACTGGAACAAGTCTTTGTCACGTCGTGACTTGAGAATTTATTGACAGTGCGTTTACAATATGATCTGGTCGTGAGTAGGAGAGACATTGTGAGATGGTTGTATTGAGATTCCTCGCGGGTGCGCATACGAGAATAATTTTACACAGGGTTACTATTCTGAAGAGGCAAATTCACTCTACGCAGTGCACGCAAAGTGCATGCCTTATACGAGGCATTTTGTGCGCTCAGTGTTGTACTTGTAGTCTGGCTTCGTGCCAGTTTACGCGAAGAAACATGAAACAAGACTTATTTTCAGTGCGCTTATTTTCGTGAGTTTCGAATGCTAATGTGCACTTCCCTTCTACCAGTTTCCGGTTTTTGTTAATTACTTCTTTAATTGGTTGTCTTCGTTAATTGTACACCGCGTTCGGCCCACTCGTTGAGAGCCAGTAGAAACGTCACCCCGACATGCTGTGTCATGTAAAGGCCGCCGCACACCAGCCGATTTTTACAAATGATGAAGCGATGAAGCGATGAAGCGATGTAGGTGTGCGCGTTCATTTGTAGATGATTTTATTTTTATCGGTTGATCGTTCCAAATCAAACATGTTTGATTTTGAACCGATGAGCCGATGAGCCGATGAGCCGATGAGCCGATTTTAAGGCCGCCGCACACCTACATCGCTTCATCGCTTCATCGCTTCATCGCTTCATCGTTTGTAAAATCGGCTGGTGTGCAGCGGCCTTAAGCCTTCACAATTTACCGAAGTGCTTATAGGATGTAAATGACAATCTATAAATTAATTCGGTACAGGGGGTGGGTTATACCGGTTAATACATATCTACTATCTACTTCTGATATTACATAATACGTACGCTCGTACACTGGGTTATACTTTAGCGTTACAGTGTAACCACACATATGTACATAGCGTACATGTCTCGTGACGTTTTGCCACATGCAGAGGTGCATGATTGCACTCGAGTTAAATTTGTATTTGAATTTTCACGCACGGCTATCTCAGCCGTTTTACAACACTGTATCTATTTGTCTAAGTGCGTTCCGTTCTAGCTCGCTGACTGACTAACAACTAACAACTATCAGCAGATTAAAAAAATCATCAGAGCCGCGTTCAAAGTATCCGTCGGACGTACGTGTGTTTCAAGGAGAATTAGAGGGCACGGTTGAAAACAACCATCTATCAATTAGAGGTGACTGCTGAAGGGTGAACGTAATACACTGAGCTAGCTGTCGCTAGATGCTCGTGTATGCCTGATCACGAGGCATTGCAGTGTATCAGCATCTATAAAATATACATGACGTATTCACGCATGCACGCATGCACGCACACGCGCAGCATATGCACACAGCCGGATCAGGAATTCTTCCAGAAAGAGATGCACGCTTCCGCAGCTCAGTGAATGCAAGCGAAAGAGGTGTGGGGGAGAGAGTAGGGGGCGAAACGCATGTGTGAGAGAAAATAAACGCGAGAGGAGAAAAAAATCCCAGAATGAAGACTACAAAGTGAACGTAACCCTAATATTTACTAATATCGGTTTGTCCCACTTTGCAGTACCCGGGAAGGTTTTTTCTCAGGTGGGTGAGTGGGGGGTTGTCCTGCGGGGTTTGTCCGGACCCCCATAAAATAGGACAATTAATGCGTAGACGTAAGAGTTCGCTCGTTTCATAGACAATACCTCGAACAATCGTCTGCCTTTGGATTGACCGTCAAACAGTTTGTCATTCAGCCAGCCAGAAAGATGTCACTCACCGGTTCTGTTTAGACTGGCACCCGGCTGACCGAGCATCAATTCGTGGAGGTTGCGTGAACACTTGGAAGCAGACTAGGTTTCGATGGAAATGTAGCTACACGAATGAAAATCGGGATTACTCATTTTCGGGACCATGTGAAACGATTTTCTTCAAACGTGATGCAAGATACGCGAGATATTCTGTGGCAATCCGGCAGATTTTTTGTCAACTTGTTTTTAAAGGGGGCACGGAAGTTGTGTTATGGGAATGATTAAAATATATTATTATTATTTATTATTATTATGATTATGATTATTACAGTATTATTAAATCTTTATTGCATATACTTCAAATGTAAGTACCCGTACTAAATGTTTTAAATGTTTGAGCGATTATTGAAATTGTTCGTGCATTTCTATTTACCATTTGCCTAATTCAGCCCGGAAATGAATCTACACACGGCCTCCAAAGGCATCCTCATTCGATTCTTTAGTAATATTAGTTATATAATATATATAATATTGTTATATTACGCGTGTATCAATTTTCATTGCTGGCTGTAGTGTATGTACGTGTAGACAATCGCAGACTATGCGTAGACCGTAGACCCAGACAGTTGCTAGTGCGCGACTGACTGTCTGGATTCATTGATTCATTGTTTCAGTCTGCAAGCGAATGATTATGATGATGAACTTGACTTGTGTGTGGATGTGTGCGTGCGTGCGTGCGTGTGTGCGTGCGCGCGCGCGCGCGTGTGCGTGTGCGTGCGTGTGTACGATGGATAATTTCACAGAGGTTAGACTTAGATCTGTGTCCGATGGGGATTTAAAAAAAATGATAATACCCATAAATTCTGACACAGATCTAAGTTTAATGTACATGCATGGGTTGTTCGTCGTGGTAATGCTACACTTGTGATTGCACGTGCATGCATGTCTGCATACATCATGGAAGGGGGGTTTCACCTTCTCATCACGTGTAGAAGTGTAACTCGTAACTTGCTGCCCCCTGACTGGGTTTGTCTGACACGTACACATTATTGCTAGTGAATGCTCTTATTCAACTTTCGTCTAGTTTGCTAATCATGGTTGTGCGATTCAAAACCATTACTGTCATTTTATCCCAGAGCAAAACTCGGAGTGGCTGTCTATGTGTCAAGGGCCAGCTGGCTTGATATATATATACATTGTAGGAAAACAAAAAAGGAGCACTGTATATAATCAAGTTAGCTTTTAGTCTGGGTGGCACACCCAGAAGTATGGCAGAAAGGGTCGTAGTCGTATCAGGTACTACAAATATCATATGTACCCGAGGTAGTTTTAGGTTGTTTAGTATTATGTTTATATTTTTATATAATGTATGTTTAGGGTTAGGGTTAGGGTTAGGGTACACTTCTGTAGTACAAGTCTGGTACACTTTGTGTATACATATATGTACCTCGGGTACATATATGTATTTCCTGATACGACAACGACCCCTTCAGCAGAAGTATGGGCTAAGGCCCCCCGACGAGTGGGTGGAGGAGGGGGGTGGATAAACACACATTGCGATTAGGGAACCAAAAGTAATCTAAAACTACGAGTTATGTAACTTATATGCGTTTTTTAGCAGGAATTATCTACTACATCTGTCACTATTGATATATCACATCCACTCCTGGCCTCCCCTCCCAGCCTCTTCCCCTCCCAACCTCCCTTCCCAACCTTCACTCCTGGCCATCCCTCCCTGCCTCCCCTCCCAGCCTCCACTCCCGGCGTTCCCTCCCTGCCATCCCACCCAGCCTCCCTTCCTGTCCCCCAGCCTCCCCTCACATCCCCCTCCCGGTCTCCTCCTCTCCCAGCCTCCCCTCCTCATCCAGTCACCTAATGTAAACATCGCAGGACGAAACGTAAACACGGCGTGAATGATAGACTAGCAGCGTCGAGGACCCACGCGAATTCCGACCGCCCCGAGCTCCCACCCACACGGTCCTGCGCGGCTGCCATGGCAACTCTTCCTCTCTGGCTTCCTTTTCGGCCACGTTTCTCCTCCAGCGCCATATCATCTCAGTCCGTATTCGTCGTGGGGGTTTTGCTATCGGCGGCGTTGCTTCTTTTTCGGCCATGTGTCTCTAGCCAACGCGTAATCATTATTATTCCTTGTGCCTCACTCGTGTTCTATTATCGCCAGTATGGCTACCTTTTCGCCCATGCCATCCCCCCCACCCCCATCCAACAGCACCTTATCATTGCTATCCGTGATCCTCTCTGGTGTTATACTATCGCGAGCGTGGCTTCTTTTTCGGCCGGGCGTAATCGTTGTCGTTTCCTCTGTCCGTTGCAGATTCGCTGCTGGTGTGCCCCGGCATGAGGCTCGGCCGCGACCGCCTGGGAAGCAGCGACAGCGGAGGCAGTTTAACCGTCGGTGAGTATAGAGCGCAGCAGTGAAAAAAATACATGGGGGCTCGGGGCGATTTAGCCCCCGAAATGCCAAAAAGAGTCCCCGTAAATTTGCATAGAGTTCAATGGCAATGCAAACCAAATTTTAGAGTGCTATTTTCATCCACGCGAGCTTGAAAAGTAGCCCCCGAAAAATAATTTTTAATTTTTTCCCTGGAGCGCAGCATGGGTCGCGTGCGGTCAACACGTTGACGTGTGGTGAAGGGGGGGGTAGATTCGCGTTGAGCAGCTGCGGCTGCACCCGTGACGGGTCAAGCTTTCGCAGGCTGACCCGTCGTGCGTTGCCCTTTCACAGGTCAAGCTTTCTGATGCTGACGACCCGCCTTGACCTTTACCTTTGATCGTTGACCTTTTACGGGCAAACCTCCCTAGGGTTCGATGATCGATGAGAGATAGATCTTTCGCGAGCATCCTTCGAGACGCGGGCCAGCTTGGCTAGTATCGTTTGCATAAATCGTGGGGGTGGGAGGGGAGACATGGAGATGTAGTCATTGACGACGACGAGAGAAGCTGCGATGCCGCAAAAACTCTCGTTAGCGATCGGGCATTGTGCGCGCGAGCGTGCATTGTCGCCGCTCTGTCGTCAGCAGATTGTGTCGTTGCGCGCGAGAGAGTGTGCGCGGGTGCAGACGTGATTCCCCCTCCGTAGCAGCAGCAGCTCGTAGCTCCCCCTCTGTAGTAGCAGTAGCTCGTAGCTCCTCCGCCATGGCTGGATGTTGTGACGTTCCTCAGGCTCCTGGCGGCGGCAACGGCGGGGATTCTCCCAGGCGAGTCGCGGAATGATGCGCCGCGCGGTGATTGCGCGGACGGCGATTGTGATTTATCGTGCTCAGACGGCAGCACAAATCACGGAGCCTCGGCGCAATTGGCCTAAGTAATATTGCTTGTGTCGCCGTTACGCGAGCGACTTGCAAAACGCGGCTACTCGCACATTTTATTGGCCGCATTAAACAAAACAAACAATTATTTCGTTCGCACACAAAAAAATCAATTTGTTTCGCAACAAAACTACACAAAACAGAATAATACCAAACTATCCATACACACACTCTTGTTCAAAACAAAATAAGTGTGTTGTCCTACCTACTCGCCGTACCCTGAGAGGCGATTAGGTAACTGGGAAACAAGACGGGAATTTTTAAGGGGCCTTGCTCGCGCTTTGTGACGAGCGCGTTCTTTTTCGTTTCGCGACATCACATGCGCATCCCCACCCTTTCTACGCTGCTGCTGCAGCACCACCCATGTATCGCTGCTGTGCTGCTCGTGCACCATGTCATGCTGCCTGCTGCTGATCCACCTCATGTATCGGTGCTGCTGCATCCACCATGTATCGGGATGCTGCTGCCGATCTCCACCCATTATCGCTGCTGGCTGCTGCACGCACCACTGTATCGCTGCTGCTCGCTGCATCCTCCCAACCATGTATACGCTTCCTGCGCTCATCCACCATGCTATCGCGCTGCTGCTGCATCCCATGTATCGCTGCTGCTGCATGCATCCTCCCACTCTGTTATCGGTGCTGCTGCTGCCATCCTCCCAACCCATGTATCGGCTGCTGCTGCTGCATCCTCCACCCATGTATCGCTGCTGGCTGCGCATCTCCCCCATGTATCGTGCTGTGCTGCCTGCATCCTCACCCTGTATCGTGCTGCTGCTTCATCCCTCCCACCAGCTATCGCTCGCTGCTGTGCATCCACCAGTGTCTGGTGTGGTATATCGCTTCTGCTGCATCCACCCTGGTATTCGCTTGTGCTGACATCCGTCCACGCCATGTATCCAGCGCTGTGCTGTGTCATCCTTCCCACACGGATCGCTGCTGCTGCATCACCCATGTATCGCTGCTGATTGCTGCATCCGCCCACCATGTATCGCTGCTGCTCTCCCACCATGTATTCGTTAGCTGCATGCTGCTCCTCCCACTCTGTATCGCTGCTGTGCATCTCCACCCATGTATCCGCTGCTGCTGCTGGCATCTCACCATGGTATCGCTGCTGCTGCATCTCCCACCATGTATCCGGGTGCTGCTGCTCCACCCATGTATCGCTGCTGCCTCATCACCCATGCTATCGCTGCTGCTGCGATACACCCTGTATCGCTGCTGCTGCATCCTCCCACCCATATTATCGCCTGCTGCTGGCATCTCCCACCATGTATCGCTGCTGCTGCACTCCACCCATGTACGATGCTGCTGCATCCTCCATGTATCGTGCTGCTGCTCGCATCCACCCAGTATCGCTGCTGCTTGATCACCCATGTTATCGTGCTGGCACGAGCATCGTCCCATGTATCGTGTGCTCCCATCACCACTGTATCGCTGCTGGTGCCTGCCATCCACCCAGTATCGCTGCTGCTGCTGATCCACCCATGTATTCGCTGCTGCTAGCATCCACCAAACCCCATTGTATCGCTGCTGCTGCCTCACCCATGTAGCGCTGCTGCTGCATGCTCCCCATGTATCGCTGCTGCCTGCCTGATCCTCATGTATCGGTGCTGCCTCCATCCACCAGGCTATCGCTGCTGCTGCCTCCAATCCCACCATGGTATCGCTGCTGCTGCTGCATCCACCCCATGTTCCCTGCTGCTGCCTGCATCCACCCATGTAGTCGCTGCTGCCTGCATGTCCACCCACCATGTATCGCTGCTGCTGTCCACCATGTATCGCTGCTGCTGCATCCCTACCCTGTATCGCTGCTTGCTGCATCCTCCGATGTTTTGTTGTGTGCGCGAGTGCTCCCATTGTATCGTGGCTGCTGCATCCACCCGATATTATTTCGCTGCTTGTGCATGCCATCCAGGTATCGGCGGTGGTTGTGGGTGGGGGTGGGGTGGGGGGGCCGGGTGCCGCGCTGCGGCTGATCCACCAGTGTCGCTTGCATGCGTGCAAGTCACCGGCATTATCGCTGCTGCTGCATCCTCCCATGTATCGCTGCTGCTGCATCCTCCCACCCTTTTATCTTTGCTGTGTCAACCCAACCATGTATCGTTTTATGCTGTCGCATCTTCAAAGAAAGCATTACTGCCCGCGAAATTATAGTTTATACACCGGATTTTCCCAGCGCTAGAACAATCGGAGCCAATTAATCCGGCTGTTAATTAGACCGGCTACGTGCGGTCGGCTGCGACGAGTTATTATCTGAAAGCTGTGATTTACTGCCCTCTTTTATGCTCACGGTGTGTGTGCGCGTGTGTCTGTCTGTGCGTGCGCATGCGTGTGTGCGTGTGTATGTGCAGATATGTGTACGTGCGTGCTTGCATTTTGTACATGCGTGCTTGCATTTTGTACATGCTTGCGTGCGTGCGTCAGTGTGCGTGCATGCATGCCTGCGTACGTGTGTGAGGGTACATCCGTCCGTCCATCTGTCAGTGTGCGTGCGTCGCTTGCGTGCGTCAGTGTGGTTGTTGCTTACGCTAAACCGTCTAACTGCTCAATGCCAGCAGTCGCCACTAACCGCACCTCGCCCTTACTGTCTCACCTTTCCGTTGCAGACGATGCGAGGGCGGCCAGCGAACCATCGCCGCCCGACCGGGACCGCGCTCCGCCACTGCCGCTGGTTCTACCGCAGCCGCCAAGCCGCGACGCGCCGCCGCCGTCGTCGGTGGCGCCCCCTCACGACGACGGCGAGCCGGGCAGCCCTCCGAACAGCGTCTTCTACCGCTGCTTCTACTGCAGCGCGCCGCACTACTGCACCGCCCCCCAGATGGCGCTGCCGCAGTACGCGACTCCGCCGTTCTACGACGCGTCTGCGTACATGCAGGCAGGCTACCAGCGCGGCGGCTTCGGCGGACAGTCCTAGGTGGCGCCGCCCACCGTCTTTTTTCGGCATCTGCGCGCGCAGTCTGGGTTTGCGCGGATGGCGCGGGAAAGGTTCGGTGTTGGTTTGCGCGAGAGAGAGAGAGAGAGAGAGAGGGAGGGAGGGAGAGAGCGAGCGAGAGAGAGAGAGAGAGAGAGAGAGAGGGAGGGAGCAGGTGCGAGCGTGATCGGGAAAGGAGGCGGTTGATTGAGCGGCGTGAGAGAAGATAGAC